CATATATTGTGAAAATCAGAATGAAATTGTATGTATAGCCTGCGCAGGGATAAATAAAAGGCTTCCAGCATTAGAGCAGGCCGTTGAGATCCCTATGGTGACATAAAACTTGGAGGAAAAAATTAACTTATGGAGAAGAGTAAAAACAGAATTAACAAAATAAAGCATTTTTTTAACCCTTTGGTGAGTTAAGTACAGTTCTTGTTTTAAACATGACTGCTACCCCAGCTGATATTAATTATTAATCATTCTAATTAGAGGTACAAACTATTATAAGGGAAAGGGGTATTAAAAAAATGGAAAAGTAAAATCTTCAGAGGGTAGGAGGAAGGAGCACTATCATTTTAATGTGTGTAGGGTTTTAATTGTTAATCTTAGAGGACAGAGCTGTCATTAATTCTGTAATGAAACTGAATTTGTTTCCTTTCACTCTGAAAATAGTGTGTAAACAGTCACATTTGCATATTCATCAAAACCCTGATCTGACTGATTAAAACACTGAGATAGAAGGATTTGTCTTTTATCTGCATTTTGACAGACAGAGCTATACTCTTAAATCTCGTTAACATTGTGTTACCAGTAGTTGCTAAATATTATTTTTCATATTTCAGCAAACTAAACAAACAGATGCCATTCAAAATGTGGCAGGAAATGTGCTGTGTATAAGTCCTGATTTTATATCTATATGTACACACACAGTATGTTTTGCAGAAATTGATATGGTAACATTTTGCAGCTCACCATGCTGATCTGTATAAAAAGCTTCTGAATCAGGCTCATGCTGTAATCTTTGTAAGTAACATTACAATCTCAGAGCATTTCTGGCTTTTCTCCACACACAACTGTCCTAGAACAGCTTGGTAATTTAATGTCTTTGCTGAGCTTGAATAGACAATTTCCATAAGTTCTCTGCAAGTTAAATATTTTAACATAGAGCTTTGTTGCTATCATACATCTTTAAATGGTGAAAAACAGGATCCTTCAGTCTTCACTGCACAGTGCTTCATCAAAGCAGAAGCTGGCTGTACTTTAGAGAATTGCGTGCCATATAGGATAGATTTAGAGCTATGAAAGCGAGCTCCGTCCCCGCTCTGGCTCCTTATGTAAGATAAGAGGAATCAGATTCGCATAAAGAGGCCCTTAAAAGCTCTATTCCTGGCAAAGGGACGATACCCCTGGTAGCACATGGTGAAAGGTAACTTAAAGATGCTGTCTGAGGACAAACTCTGAAGTTCTCATACTGGGCACGGGGCTGAAGCAGGATAGCATTTTGGGGAAGGCTGCGGTATATCTGTCGAGTTGCCATGTAGCCACCGATACCCCTGGTTCATTCCAGGGGAATTTTACAGCTCCATGCAGAAGTTGGTGATTGTGAGGATGAGGAATGGTTTGAAATTATTTCGGTTCTCCTGGATTATAAAGTTTTGTACTATGCTTCTTGGAGACAACAGGATCTCACCACCTATCTTTGGTTTTTGTTTTTTTTTATTATTCTTTGTTTTGGAACAGTAAAATGCAAGTCACAAGAAACCGTGCTTAGATGATTACTCCTGAAGGCTGTCTGAGTGCACATTTTGCTGCATGTAATGTTTTCAAGGCAATCTAATTTCTAATCTAATTTCATATTTTCTCTAAAGAAAGTACTATGCCTCCATTAACTCCTTAAATACTTTCACTAATTCTATGAAAATTGAAAGTGAAATATCAGTATGGGACATGTAATTGTCATTAGGATGCAGAATGGCAAAGTGGTTCAGAGCCAAATGGCAAAGATTCCCATTGCCAGTGTGAACGGATAACTTAGCTGTTCTATTTCTGACCTTTTAATGTTTATGTTCTTTACTTCAGGGAGCTATCCCAAAGTCTGGATGTGCCAAATGGTCTTGAAAATAGTCTCTCCTGCAAGCTAGCTATGATAGTCACCCAGGTATCATTTAAACTGCCATTTTCATTCTGCCATTGTTGGCCTTAGGTAACATCAGGCTTTCTATGGTTTGTCCCAACAGATCAGAAGTTCAAAATCTGTGGGCATTTCTTTAAATTGTGCAGTTACTTTTTTGCATATTACTGATGTGTCTGTTGTCTTGGCATATATTATACAATACTGTACAGCATAATATAGTGAAAAATACTTTTTGTATTTCTCTGAAAGCATAAGCACAAGCTCAATTTACATTTACAGTACCTATTTTATGATATACAGTCACACGTGCAGTAACGGTTATGTGTAGCATTATAACTAATATTTCAGAGCTGGCAAAATTTTTGAGTGTGTCGTCATTTGAAGGTGGTAGTCTAAATTATCTGTGCATACTTGAAGTGTGTGGACAATTGATGAGACCTGTACCTCTACTAGTATTCCATTATCACACATAATAAATTAAACGAGTTTTGGTGAGCCTGGCTCAGCTCCTACAGGCCACTTTACAAATCGCCACTGGCTTGGCAATATTTTCATTAATCACTCAAAACAGAGCCAAGATTAATTGGAGACAGATACTTCCTTTCACCCCATTAGGCAATGGCGCTTCCAAATTACACTTAAAGAGAATTGCAACTGCACATACAAACCACAAGCCTCAAAGGGACTTCCACAGTACACAGAGACTGGAATATGGAATTCTGTTAAATTAAATATTAAACATACATATTTTAAAACAAGAAGGCAATATGTCTAATGTAGAGCTCTGTAAGTGAGCCAATCTCTTAAGTCAGACATGAGAAACTGAGTGAAACAGATTGGAACACAAGGTGCTTCATTCTGACTCCACGCCACTTTGGTGCATGCTTTTAATTTATATAAGTTACTCCTGATTTATGCTGGTATTAGAGAGATCAGAATGAGGCCCCAAGACTGTGAAACTGCGCACCAGATGTCACATTGCTGGTTCATTGATCAAATATCCCTTATTTACTGTCTAAATTACTGGGTAACCCTGTAAAAATAGTTGATCAGTTCTACTGATACCTACTGGTACATTTTTAACTGCTCAGTTATGACTGTGTTAAAGCACGAAGCAAACAAAATAGAATAAATTTTTCTAAGGTTAGATTTCCCATTTCAGCGTTCAGTGTTAGGTTACGTAATAACAGTTCTGTAAAAGAAAAGAATACTCTTCAGCCTTCAAAAAAAAGGTACAGGCTTCAGTGTGATGTGTCATATCTTTAAAATCATGTTGATATCAGATTTTGTACTTTCCAATTGATCTGACTGTAACTAGGTTGAAATGTCATCTAAATGCAATTTATGACCACTTACTTGGTCTGAAAAAGGCCACAGAAATAATGCTTAAAAAAACTAAACCCAACTTCTCATTTCTCTAGAATGTAAAAGTGCACCTACATGTATGTTCAAGGAACATATTCTTTATTCAGAGGTGTATCTAATTACTCTTATAGTACTGCCATTCCCATAGCCTTCGTAATATGGCTGTCATCCTAAAACCGTATGTGAAATTTTAAATGTTCCTATGGCTATTTTCTTAGCTGGGTTGGATATCAGCAGGAGTAGATTTGGACCTAAAAATAACACCACCAACAGTTCTTTCTGAAATAAAATACGATTTATAGTATATAATAGCACAGTATGCTACCAGGGAAATTACAGAAATAACATGAAAAATAACAGGGAACTATTCTATACCACCAGTTTTAAGGAAAATTCCTTTGTTAGAATTTAAAGGAAGTTCTGGGAGATAAACTGGCTTGTGGGAATCATAGACAAGGAAAGATAGGCGAAACTATGTTACTGTTGAAAGTTGCCATCTGTCTTTAGGATATGTACAACTGTTCCTGGTAAAAACAAGAAATACTTTGGTTTAAGTTGGCAGCAATATATAGTTTTGGAAAAAACAAACTCAATAAAATCATCATTTACAGTTAATATTGTGCAAGGTTACAAAATGTATAAGCTGGTTATTTCTTAAATTTCAGAGAGAGCACTGTTTTATATATTAAAATAATTTCTAGAGGGATTTGCATAACTTGTGATTTATCTAACTATGAGTAAAAAAATCTTATATTGGGAAGAAGGATTACAATCTTAAGTCAATTTTGCAGCTTGCATTTTATAACTACCCTTATCCATTTAAAAAACTCTTAGAAAAAAATGCT